AGGTGTTGGCAAATTCCTGTCTGTTATGGGGATACAAGGATCTTCTTTCATGGGTTGTCACTTGAAGTATGTTGAAGCCAGTGCAAGTGATAAAGCAAAATCTTCCTGGTGCTGTGAAACATCCACCTTTGGCAGTGACTTTAGAAGTGCTGCTGTTCCTTTCAGCTGCTACAACTTTGTCATGCATTGCATTCCAGCTTATGGGGATTGCAAGGTAACTTAGGCTGTATTTGGAAGCAATTTCTTTTATTGAGCAGTTGCCAACTTCGAAGGCTTCATTTGCATCTTGTACTGGTGCATCTCCCAGCTGCGTATGTGTAGTCCAGATTTTGAAAAGAACACAGATTTATGGGACCTGGCATGCAACAGGAGAATTGGTAACTTATTTTTAAATGAAAACTTTTCTTGCAAACTTTTGAGCCGTTCAGGGAATATGGTAGGGTGATGATTTTCATTCATCAGGAGATCAGATCCTACCGTGTCCCCAGCATTTAATAACTATTTGAATGTCACTGGAAAAGCTGTAAAATGGAATGTGTATGTTTCTGCTAGTTCTAGGTAATTCATAATGAATCTTTATTGACTGAACCACTGCAAAGTAGGCATCTTAGCCATATAATATTTAAAGGTAAGATCTGGGGAATTAGATGCCTTTCAGCAGATTGATGTTATGCTGTTTCATTGGGAAACACTAACTTGGCAAACTGTGTGGCTCCCACTGATGCAGTTTAAGGTATTTAATCTGTGGATTTCCCTGTGATTATGCATGTGAAAGTGCATCCAGTAACTCATATCCTTATAGCTGTGGACATAATATGAGCAATACCTCTTCAGATATTTAGCAGTTTGAGCCCGTAGGAAAGAATGCAAAGATGTTAGATGGAAATATGGATCATGAAAAACTGAAGTTTTGTAATTTCTGGTGCAGTTTCTATTCACTTAACAAATTGCTCTTTTTGAAAATAGCCTCCCCTTCTCCCCTTCTGCAGCCTGCCTGGGAATGGAAGTTGATCCTTCACAACCCTGTAGAAAAGAAATTATTATCAAGATCTGACCTTGGTACCACTTTGCAGTGTGAACACATTCCTGTCTGATCGAACCTGTGCATTTGTTTAAAAATAAGTTTTTAGTCTGAGAAGGGGACACTGCACATCTGAAACCAGACCCTGAAAGGGCTTAACATCAGCAAACCACTTTAGGCTTTTGTACTTTCATAGCCAGGGCTTTCTGCTGGAGGCAGAAAGGTGTTTTGGAAGTCCACTGTCCCTTTTAAATGTGTCCTTGTTGCTGTATGGGAGGACTGCACTGTGACTACTCCAGTAATAGCCTGATGTGATTAGCAGTTGAATTTTATGAAGGTGATTGACGTGCAGCCCACCTCTTCTAATGAATTCCTTGTAGTTGTCATTGTGTGCTACTTTGTCAGTTCATTATGGGCCTTTAAAACTTGGGAGGTATGTATTCCTTTACTTACTCAACTGACTTGTTGTCACTAATTGATATTTATGTAAAACATTGATTAGTCTTTTCCATTAAAAAATAATTGCAACCAAAGGGTGTGTTATGTCTCCTTTGCAAGATGGTTATCAAAAAGTGCTGTGGCACAGGTCCTGGTTGGCCTCTGTGTGGGAGCTGCTGCAGTTGTGCTTTCATCCTCAGCTCAGATTCATGGGCTTTAGTTCATCTCACCACTGCCTGGAGCTGCATGGAGCTCCACTGGGAAAGGGGGAAACCCTGGGACAGGGTACACAGCCAGTGGGGAAACTCCTGTCTTTTACTGCCCTGCAAGGTGAGCTGCTGGACATGCAGCTTTGGGTCTGAATCACCTGGGCTCTGCTCAGCTGCTCTAAGAAATACAGACTTGGACAAAGTGGCACATTTGCTTCTTATCACTCTTGAATACTTAAAGAGGATTCATGGATTTTAGTAGCTTTTGCTGCTCTTCTCCTGTGGCTGAAAAACATCTGTGGTCTGGCTGTGCAATTGGAACAGAGTTCCTCTCTGGCTCTCCTGGTGTTTGAACATCAGCCTCCCTGCATGAGTGGTTCCTCCTCTGAGGATTTTCCATTCCTTTAAACTCCAGCCTGCCTTGTACCAGTAAGAGAACATTTACAGTTGGGCCTGGCAGCCTTTCAGCCACGGTACTTTGAATTTCATGGGTGTATCCTGAATGTTTAGCTTTCAGAGATAGGGAAAAAGATCCTATTAAGTCATCCCAAGACAAAGAGGTCAATAGCAGGAGCTGAGAATGCTCAAATGTTTGGAGAGCTTTCTTTGAACAATCTCAGATACTGGATTGTTGCCTTGTGGTGAGGAATGCTTCCTTCTCTCCTACCCAGCTCCCTGGAGCAGGGTGCTTGCAGGGTTCCTGGGACACCAGCTCCACTCCTTGGCCCCAAACCAGCTGTGGTGCAATTGGGCAGCTGTTGTCAGAGGCAGGGAGAGCGTGGCTGGCAGATGGGACACCCAAGGGGGACACAAGACTGGTACTAATAATGCTGTGAAAGTACCAAAAAGGGTTGTGGTACCCTCTGGTGTCCCTGCATTGGGCTGGCACTCACCAGCACAGTCCAACGCTCACAGAGTACACAAAGCTCCACTTAAAACATACCAGTTTCCTATCCAGAATTTATTAAGGACAAGAGTAACCTTCTGTTAAAGCATAGAAAAGGATTTTCCCCTTCTTCTGCAGTCACAGGAAACACAGGCTGTGAACACTGGATCATTTTTCTCCCCTAACATACGTTTGCCTCCTATTTTCAAAAGCAGCTTCTTTCTTCAGGGAAGCTGGAGATTTCTACCATGACTAGTAGAAATTTGTTGATTTTTTTTTTTTTCAACAAATTCCCCCAACCATAAGAGAAGTCACCTGCTGGCAGGGGATAGTGCAAGTGGTTTGCCTTTGTGTTCCAAAGACTAAGCAAACCCAGCATTACAAGATTCAAAAAGCTTTCATTACACCTGTTGTCTCAGGCTCCCTCACTTGCTGCCACAGCACAGAAAGCTGCCTTGGATCTCTCAGCAAAGCTGGATGCCAGACTGGCACCAAACCCCTGCTCTTCAAGACAGCCAAGGTCTCCCGTGCTCACATTTATGTAATGCTGCATGGGAGGGCTGGAACTTGCTTGCCAAATCCTGTTTGCAATTTGATTTTACTTCCTTTTATTCCTACTGAACTTGCATAAATTTTGGTATATTGATTGGTTGCCATTAAACTGTGAATACAGTATGTCATGTACACAGAATATCGTAAACATGTTCCCTCTATTCCATATGCACAATTCACCTCCCTCACTGCTGCCTCCGTGCTGGTTGTGTTTCAAAGCTCAAACTATGGATCACTCCATACACAAACAAATTATGAACCAAAGCTTTTGACAGCTGTAACACAGCTATTTCAGAAAAATGCACTCAGCTCTGCCCCTGAGGTAAGCAATTCCAGGAGATCTGGGGGTACTGCAGTCCAGATAACATGCTAAGTTGTTCAAGAGTCAGCCTAGACTCAGGTTGTGCTAACTCTGAACTTGGAAAGGCTTACTCCTACATCATCTCTAGTGTACCTAAAGGAGGAAAGACATTTGTTAAGCTTCAGAGTTTTCCCATTTAATTAGGGCAGAGAACTCCTGGGTCATATTTTAGTCCTGAAAAAATCTCTAGAAAACCTAAAAGATACATTGCAAAGTTCCTGATTTAAAAAGCAATGCTCACCCACCATCAGCCCCCAAAGCAGCTCTCAATCCTTCATCCATCATGGTCAAGAGCACTGGGACTTAAGTCCAACTAATGGTGACCAAGAAACGTGGGGGAGGAACTCACTGATGCCAACGGGGAGGGCAAAAGCTCAGAAGAGCCAGCAGAGCACACGTTCTCCTGATGTCCCACGACAGTGCTGCCAGTGTCCACGTCACCGCTGTGCAGCTGCGAGCAGGGGACAATTTCTTTGGTGGCAGCCCTCAAAAAATGCCCACTGGAAAGTCCAGCTGTCACACCACAACAGTAATATGCAACCCACTGATCACTGTGAAACACAGGGCTTAGCAAAAACAGGCATTGCTGGCATAAAGCATCTAATTTGACCTGGTATCCAAGCAAAGCTAACTGAGTTCAGCTGTGAGGGCTCGTTAGCTGGAGCTCTATAAAAGGCTGGTCTTGGTGGCCATTTCTTCCTAAGGAGGCTTCTTAGCAAAAGCTGCATGTCTTTTTGGAGGAAGGTAAGAGTTACCACCTTCCTGTTACTGCTTTTTGGTTGCCTTTATTTTGTCAGGTGCACTGTAGATATCGAGAGCTGCTTCAGGAAGGAGAACTCAAAGCAGACTCTTGTTTAGCTTAAAGTTGTCTGCTAAGCAGTAAGTTTCCTGTTTTTCCCTTGCCCTGCCTTCACACTGTCTTCAGACCTGTTTAATGATTTACCTGATTAATTCTTTAAACACTGAAGGAACGAGCTGTTGTACAGTAACTCTAATTACTGAACTCATTAACATCTTATTGTTTAATTTATGCACAAATGATGCTTGGTACATGGTTTAATTTTAACACTGGAGAAGGTTTAGGTTCATCACAGCCTTCATTCTGCCAAAACCTTACGAATGGTATTTCAGGCAAAAAGCTTTGTGCTAATTAGAAGTCCTGTAATAAGCAATGAGAGGAGTCTTTATACTGTTTGGTTTTTAACTGTTGGCTAAATGAGCTCTGAGATACTGGAGCACCCAAGTGTTTTGATAATCCATTGGCAGCTGTTCTGCAACAGCAACTGTACCTCATCCATAAACAACCAGTTCCTTATTCATTAGCACAAATAAGGGCGTGCAGGGAAGCCCTGCTATGCCCCACCACAACCATGCATCAGGAGACCCTCAGCCTGCTAGTCCACTTCCCCTCACCCACTGACTCCCCCAGGATTTTATCACGTTGGTCCTTCAAAATAAATCCATAAATAAGTCAGTGAGTGCAGCACATTTTTGTCTTACCAGTAGCAGGAACAGCAAAGGATAGAAATGGCATTGAGTAAGTACCACCCTTTTTATTAATGATGATGTCCCTTTTTATAGCTTGCCTTGTGCTGTCAGAGTAACAAGCCTTGCCCTGTGCCAGTTGCCAGGTGATGTGTGCTGAGGCTGCAGGGAATGGTCTATGGACACAGACTTTATTACGGGGCTGTCGCTGCCGTGCCCCAGCAAACCTGGCAGCGGGACTTGAGCAGGCCTTGTGGCTCTGGCCCAGGGCTGGCTGGTGAGCGTGCCAGGAAGACTGTCTTGGTGGCCACTCTGTTCACTTGCAAGTCCAACAAATATTGCTGCCTCTCCAGCAACTGGCTGGTGGGAAGGAAAGGGCCAGTCCAGCTACACGGTGTCAAGAGGTTCCTCCCAGCACAGCTTCCTTCGGTTTCACCCTAATTGTAAATAAAATAGGAAGGGGCACCAGATATATCTCACAACTGCTTTGATTGGTGACTATGCAAGTGTGTCCTCTGCCCTGCTCACAGGGACTGCCGGGCCAGGGAGCCCTTCATGTGCTCCCAGTTGTTGTACAGAGCGTAGAGGCCGGTCAGCGTCAGCCCCGCGATCCCTCCTCGCGCCATCCCACGCATCCCACCTGAAACAGAAAAAACAGTAAAGCTTGTGGAGTTACATTTGAGGAGATGGTCAGTCAACAGCACTTCCAAGAAGATCTCTAAATCCAGAGACATTTTAACGAAACAGGTTTTCTTTTTTGAGTAACTTTCCAGAAAGGGTCCTTGTGCTAATCCTGCCTTCCTCTCAACCTGCTGCCAGGCTTGAGGTCAGTCCTTCCTGATCCTGACACTAATTCTGCTCTTATGGCTTCCTCTCAAAATGTGTTAGCACTGCTGCCTCATGGAACCACTACAGAGCCCTGGAAGCAAAGATGGCTTTTCCCAGTCTATTCCATCTGTCCTTAACACAATTGTTTACAGTTAGGTATGATCTCTTCCTGCTGTAAGAACTCTTCCATTTAGGTTTTCAGAGGATGAATGTGTTTTTCAGTTATGGTAACTAGCACTGGGCAGAAAGAGAAAGGGCAGGAGGGAAATAAGTGAACACAACAGCAGCTGATGTGGACATGGCCTTGGGCTCCAGAGATTTGTGAGGGCCATTGTGCAGAACCTATCACTGCTTTTGTGTCTTTGGAATTTTAAAACCCTTTGATAAAAAAAAATAAAAAGTAGATGAGAGAGATTAACTGGTAAGAATTTACTAGGGTGTACATTGACCAATTTATTTAGTTTTATTAATATTCAAAATTATCACCTCACAACAGGTGATTAAGGTTTGTGAGCACCTTAGTGTAAGGCAAAGAGAGAGGGCAAGTTTGGCTACTACGTGGCTGAAGGTGGGAGTCAGATGGTCCCCCAACTCCATTCCATCCATGTAAGTGCTGGGGTGTACAGGGGCAGAAGTAGAGACTTCTGATGCTTTTACTAAACATCAAAATGCTTCTATTCCTCAGTAGTAGGAAGTGCCTCAGTAGAGCTCCCAGAATGCACCACAAATGCACAGCTGAGAGTATGACCCTCAATGCTAGGAAAACTTCACTGAGGTTGATTCTGCAATGTTTATCATTGCAGCTGAAGCAAGTTAGATAATGTGTACAGTGTATAGAACAAGGCCAGTTTCTGCTGACAGTGAGATAAAACCTGTCTGCCTTATTGGTGAAACTGGCAGTGCAATTCAGGTTCCTCAAACTTGAAAGCAAATCCATCTCAGTAATCAGAGATTTTTATTTTTTTTCCCCATTGTGGGTCATTATGTTGTCTCACAGAACTGCTTTTAGGCTTGTATTGGGGCACAAAGCTGATGGTGTCAGTTAGACTGAGACTGTGGTACCTGTGTTGCAAGGTTAAAATACATTTCATTGGAGTTGTTAAACCTCCTCCTATTGCCCAGGCATGCAATGAAACCAAAAAGCTGCAGAAGTGGGACTTGATACTAGAAGCCATGTCTAGTCATAGTTTCTCAAAAATTCATTCCCAGACCAGCTGTGACCATTTGAGTTTTTTGGTGCATAAGCCTAAGTTTGCTGCCCTAACTGCTGAGAATTCAACAGCTCTAAGAAAAGCCTTACTGAGTATGCTCTGTGTGCCTAAATCAGCATTTAGGAAAGCAAATGTAGACTTCTGTGTTTGCTAATTGATCCTGAATTTGTTGCACAAAAAGCTTTTCATATGAAGGGGTTGCAGCTGGGTACACAAAACTAACCAAGTGCAAGCAGTGTCTGGCAAAAAGCCACAGGTGAAATTTAAAGGACACTTTGTGCAAAACAAGTATTTGAGATAATCTGTAAAAATATTGACTCCTCGTTTCTGCTGGGAAAAATGAATAAAACATTAGAGCCTGATTTTCTGTTGTTATCAGGAATCACCTGATCACAGCAGAAAGCCCCAAAGGGGGCTCATAACCATTAGGGTGTACAAGGAAATGCACAGAATGTGGAACATCCCCACACAACACAATGCAGACAGAGCTATGACTATTCACATAGGTTCTTCCCTAAGCCCCCATGTTCAATTCTTCTCCTTTCCTCTTCAAATCCTGTTCTTATGGAAGGACAGGTAGTCAAAAGCTGATTGAGCTTGGTTCCAGATGCTGTGAAGTCAGGATTGTACAAGAAAGGTATCATCTTTAATTTGGATAGCTGAGCCACTTTGTAGCATCATGCAGACTCAGGGCACAGTTCTGCTGAGATGTACTAGTTCTAACCCAACAGATGTTGGTATTTCCACGTGCTGAGGCCAGCCAGGTAAGGATGGCAGCTCTGAACCCGCGTACAGGTGTCAACTGCAGGGCCTAAAGCCATCTGTAGGCTGGCAGACAACTTGGGGACATTGCTGAAGATGTTTTGTGAACAGGAACTAAACTTGTGCGTTACTGAGAAAGAAAATATCCAAGGAAACAGGTAAAAAATGTTTCCTACCAGGTTGCCTAAGCTTCTGCTACAAAACATTCACAGAAATTTTTTATTTTTTTTTTGTAGCAGTTTCTCCTGGTTTCTGAGCTATCCATGGTAAATACAAAAAAAGAGAAAGAGAAAACTTTCCTTTCTCTAACTGGTCAGATTTGCATTGGAGTAAGTCCGTGCAGGTCTGTGGTAGACTTCAAACAGTAATGCACTGTCAAATGCAGCCCTGTTGCTGGGCAGAAATGTTAGGCCCTCTGAGGAAAATTAACTTGTTAAGAAAAATAAAAAAAGAAATTCTCCACTCCCATCCCAGCTGTGTTTACATGATAGAACACGTTCCCACCCCTCCTCTGCAATCACTCTCTGCAAGCCTCTGATACCAAGTCTGCCGTGACAAACCCTGCTGAAACATGGTTGTGAGCCTCTAATCTTGCATGTCCCAGTAAGATAAAGGTTCCAGCTGACAGATGCTTCTGGAAGCAGGTATTTTGAGACCAGGCACCTTGCACAATAGTTGAGAACTGCTATGGGTTTCCAAAGATACATCTGATGCTCTCTAAATGGGAGTTTGGTTCTCTGGCTTTGGCTGCTGCACCCTTTCACCATAAAGTATTGTCTCTATTCTGTGCATTTACAGTAGGTTCTGGTGTACACTGTGCCATGACACACAGCACTGCATTCTGATGCAGCTGTGTTATGGCACAGCATTCCAACAGCACAGCTCTGTGTTTCTTCATGGTAGGAGCCTCTCCTAACACTGCACTGGACTTGTGCAGTAGGTAAAACCATTACTACGTGCCATAACATTAGGGCAAAGTCCTCAGAACCTTGTGGTCCCGATTTTCAGAATGTTACTCCACTATCCTGGGACAGTTCCTGGGATGTTAGAACCAAGAACTCCAACAGCAAACACTGGAAATACCTTAACTGAAACCTCAGGCTGGCACACTTATGCCAAACAAAAGAAGTGTAATCACTAAATAGTTACTAGTTTTCTGTCTTCTAATCTCTCTCTTGGATACTCTGAATGAAAATAGTTTCTCTTCCTTTCAGGCTTCCAGGAATGAAAATATTTTTTTATCGAGTTCAGCTTCTAAAATGTACAAGGCAATCTCAGTTTTGTTCCAAATGAAAGCATAGTGGTGCTAACCAGACCACCTGAACCATCAAGACATTTGTCTGAACATCTATGGGTAGTCCTAGTGGGCCTATGTCATTAGAAAATACAAACAGTTTCCTCCTGCTGCTCCATGGTGTTTATTTTATGAAGTCTTTAAAGTATGGGCAAAGTCTGTGGATACAGAAATTACTGAGGAAATTGATAAACTTATATATGGAAGCAAGATACATTCCAAAAAAGCATGTTCTGTTTTCATATTGCTGCAGCTAAGGCAGTATTGTGGTTAAAATACAGAAACAACAAAGCTTGAAACAGGGAACATTTCCTGTAGTTACTGTGCTATGAAGGCTAAATTAGAAAAACAGTAGGAATTTACAATTTAATTTACAAGTTTAGGAGTACTAGAGCTGTTGAAATTACTTTGCAAACATGATTAAAGCTTCCTGTCTTCTCACTGTGTGAAAGCAGCAGCACCTGAGTGACAGGAGGCTACTTCAGCTGCTTTAAATGGCACCTGCAAACCCCTGCAGGAATGAGCCCTTAGTTCATTGTTCCTGCCTAGGAGGGCTGGGCAGCACTGAAGGCAGCACTGCTCTCAGTGGCCACTCATACTCTTAGACATCAGTCCTCATGTAACTAAGAAAGCCTCAACAAGCTATTATGCTGCTTGTACTTTGCCCTTACCTCTTCCTTCTTTCAGATCTGAAACAAAATCCTTTCACTAAACACCATTTGACTGATAATCCTATGGACCTGTTCTGCTGAAAGAGCTTCTTAATTTCTAAAAGAGGTTCTTAATTTCTAAAATGCCTGACAGCCCTCAAATTCAATGTTCAGAGGCAAATCCTTTACTTGCTTTTCTCCAAATAATGCAGAACAGTGAGATATCCCAGGCCCACACCTGGGCAGTCCCCCAAAAGCTCCTCTTTCCCCCTCCCCACGCCACAGGAACGCGAAAACAATCCTGTCCAACCCAAAGAAAAACCCAGGTTGAGCCCAAAGGGAAGAGGCTTTCTACAGCTCAAGAAGTAGTCAGCTAACACAGCTGCCCTGAACTACCCACTGAATGTCACAGAACTGATCTTGAGCTCCAGCCAGACTTTACTGTTGGCAATAAAACATTCAGAATTCATAACGTATTGACTTTTCAGGGCTGTGTTCTGAGGTCTTAAAATGACAACTACTACCTTCAGCTATTGCTAGCATGCAGTTCCCTTCTTCTCAGACACACACCACTTTATATACCAAATTACATAACATCTATTGTGCAAAAGGCACGAGATGCTGTGCTTAGTATTGGTTCCTACTGCACAAAAGTATATAAAACAAAGTAATTCAGTTTTTCCAAAGCACTACTTTACTTTTGTTCCTGTTACCCCTAACCTTGGGAGGGGTAATTATCTAAGAAAAAGAACATCTACAACCTGTGTAACCCTCAGATAAGAGGTAAAGGTTAGTTAACTTTTTTGCTTACTGAAGTCTCTGTCAGGAATTTCAGTGAGAAATTAATGGCTGTCACACAGGGTCAGACCAAAGTCCCACCTAGCTCAGGATCTTTTTCCTGAGTGATCAATCCTTGAGCAGTGCAGGATCCTCAGCCAGCTGTACCCTGGTGACATGATGACTTGAACCATGTGCATTTTCATGGTGGGAGATAATAGTGCACGGTGCCAATCACCTTTTGTTACTTTTGGTTACTAGTAAAATTATGAGGAAATGAAAGATGTATGGCTTAGAAAAGAGGTTGAAAACATGGGCAAGGGGGCTAAATGTTTGTTTAAGATGTGTTTATGCTTCGTAACATTTATCAGAAAAAACCCTGGCATAACAGAGATTAATTTCTGCCTTTTCTTGAAACTGAAGAATAAAGAATAGTATCTTATTAAATGGAAAAACCATCCTTGTGGATTTGGGATATCCAGACCTCCTTTTAGCCAAACTCAAACTGAATTGGCTGAGTCACAGTAACATTTCTACTACATATGCCACTGACAGAGGAACACAAAGGGTTTTATTTTGTCTGTCACTCAAACTGAATGTTCTGGGTAGAAGTTAAGTGGTGAGCTCAAAAAGCAGCTTCCCTAAAGCTGTAAGTCTGGTGAAACAAGTTAATATTGTACTCTCATTACTACATTTGGGCTAAAATCTAGTAAGTAATATTGGTATTGAATTTAATTTAAAATAAATGTGAAAGCTAGAGATCACTTTGGTCAGAGGAATCAACCAGTATGATGTTTCAAAACTGCTTATATCAGTTTTATGTTTAAACTCAATTCAGTGTCTGTTAACCTAAGCCATGCAGTGTGGGGAGATGGATTCCAGCTAACACTTGATTTATGATGGGGATTTAATGGCTTTAGTCACCTGCAATGGGGAACTTCCAGTGACTACTGCCACTTCCAGTGAACATGGGGGGAGGCTGAACTGCCACTGTTTGTCCTCACTTGCAGACTTTTCAATCTTCTCACATCCAGCTTGTGTGTCAAGTAGCCTTGCACAAAACTGCTCACAATCCAATGGCTTTAGAACATACACGTTCTGTTTGACTCCTGGCATTTTGGTAATGATTAACACTTCCACAAGGACAAATTGTGAAAATGGGGACCAGTTTGGGGCAACAAATCTCAGCTTTCAAAAAGTCTTCCCACTACTTTTTTTTCCCCTGGTCACTCATCAAATGCTTATCATTTGTTTAAGAAATTCACTCTAGGCTTTGTCGTGTACACAAGAGGATTTTTCAGTGCAGCACAGCTGCTGATGTGATTCTTCCATCAGTGCTGTGTTTAAATATGAAGTCATAATAAAAGACCTCCATACTTTATAGGTTTCTTCTTAAGTATGTTCCCAACCTCTTTACAAAGCAGGAATGATGGAAGTGGGAAATCTGAGTGTTTGAACAGCACTGTTTCCGACTCTGTAACTACACTTTGTGAATTACAGAACAGCCTTGATTTGCAATGGCATGTTTGTGGGAGTTTCCAGCTGACACTAAAATATGGAGGTTTATAACTAAGTGTCCTTGACAGCTTTTAAATTTTCCTTTTTTTTTTTTATGGCAACACAACATGGCATTCCATGAAACAGAGGAAATGATTACAATCTTGATATGTCACAGATGTGTGCTGATGATTTGCATGGTTTAAATATTCAAGGTTTTTTAGGTGAATATATACATTGATGCCGAGCAAAGGCAGAACTTAGAAGTTTTACCATCCAGAATAAGAAAGGGCATTCTGGCATAAGGTGACAGGAGAGGCAGACTGGGAGAAGCAGCAAGAGGAAAAAAAAGATTGGAACTAAATTCTTGAAACAGATGTGAATATAATCTTTTTCACTTTGAGAACTAATCCTTGATCTTTGAGGTCACATTTCCTGCATATGGTGAAAAACTTATTTCTTTTGAGTTTCTCTGCACTATGGTTCATATGCACGACACATACTTGAAATACAATACTGTAATGAATACAGATTTACTGACTGCATTTGCCTTTATCAGTGCTACTATTAGCTCAGTAGATCTTATGTTACAAAACAGAAAGTCCCACTGTGCCCTGGTTAGAAAAACTTCAGTAGTGTCAGATGACTGTGCATGTGACTGGGGGAGTTATCTGTGGCTGCACTGTGACAAAACAAGATTACATGTAATGCCAGCTCTATACTTTGGAAAGGTAAAGGGGAAAGTTCTGCTGGAGACTAAGATGGCATTTCTTATTAACCTCATACAGAAAATGTTAGACTTCTACACTGCTACCCTATCTGGCTGTTATTGCTAACCTGTCATATCACTCATGAAAACTCAAGGAACTAGCAGATTACAAGAGAGCTGTGTGCCCTTGCAGAGTTAAGAGCACAAGCTGGTATTTATGAGGGCTGCTGAAGCCAATTACTTTTGGTTTCAGTTTGGTTTCAGTTCGTCTAGGCCAACAGGAAAATAAGACTGCTCAAACTGTTTTGCCCAATATATAAAGCTGGACTTCAGGAATGCTTTTGAGACACTGAGGCTCAGTTAGATATGCAGAAGTACATAGGTTAATTCTAGAATTATCTCCTTAGTAAAATGCAGGTGACTCACATAGCCAAACCTTTACTGAGTTACTTAAGGTTTTACTCCATGTGGTAATATCAGCCCGTGGTACCCAGGAGTTCTCTAAACAAGATGACATCTCCAATGGGCAAGCTTTGAACATGTGTTGACAGACATTTTGCTGATGAAGCTCAGACTGTCTCTTCTGCAAACAATTCAGGATGCATCAGCAAACTAACCTTAAAGCCATGCTGTTCTCAAATGATGTTGTTTGTTGGTTTTGACCACTATGCAAAGACCAGAGTCCTACCAGAGGACAACAGTTTCACCAACAGCTAAGTAATAACTTCATAAATACATCTGTTTCAATGTGTGTAGGGTTTTGTGTAGCTCTGGGTGCTACTATCCCATGAATTCCTATCACATGAATCACCTGTAGAAAGTTTCATGTTCATGCAGTCAAGCTCTATGTTCTGTGTTCCACCCCTGCCCCCACTTACTTTGCCTGCATTCCCTCATGGACTTGGGAAACAATCAGTTTTATTTCTGCTGTCGCTGAAAAACATGGCTAGAATGAAGTGGGTGTGTATTTTACACAACCTTACTATAAACCTGAGTAAATACTTGAGTGTTTCTTCAGTATATAGGTATAACAGTCATAATTTGGCTCTCGTGATTACTGTCAGTCCTGTGCAAGTTGGAAAGAATCAAATTTAATTCAGCTTGATTTTTTTTTTTTAAAGTGCAAATTCTCCTTAAGTAGTCTTAGTTGTGTGAAAAAACGTTGTGTTAGGGGACTTTGAGCTAATAGTCATTTTTACACTGTCAATTTTCAGAGCAGGACAGTATTTAGTAGAAGTAATGAGGATCCTAATAACTAGGACAAAGTACAAGAGGAGGAAAAGGAGAAACACTTTGCTACTCTACCAGTGCTCTTGTATAGCATTCCTGTCAAGGTTCCAGCAGCTACGGTGTTCAGGTCATCTTCTGCACCTCGTGTTTTTTCAATGATGACTCCAAATGCACTGTAAAGTAGAGCTGGGGAAAAAAAAAGATTAAGAAAACTCAAGTTAAAACCCCCATTGCCTGAGGCACAAGGCTTAGAATCCAGGCTTGGTGTAGCTATTTAGACTGTGCTTCTGAAGCACTGATTTTCTGCTTATTTAAAGGAGAGGAATCCTCTGAAAAATCCCACCTTTGGTGGTTTTCTCCTCAGACCTCTTTCTATTTTATAGATATTTAAATTAATATTGGATTGCTTGCGATTTGACATGCACAGGCAGAGAAGCAGCAGCTGGAAATGAAAACTTTATCCCTAGAGCACATTTTGCTCTGGGACAACTTTAGACAACTAGAAAGAAAAATGCATGGGCTTTTCAGTATGGATGCATCTATCATCTATGCCTTGGGATGAAGGGAAAAGGCACCACCATCACCACCCCTCGTGTATTTCATGCATTAAATGAAAGACACCAAAAACCCCACTTGTATTTCATGCTGACAATTTGAAATCTTTACTTCTGCTAAAAAGCATGTAAATCATTCCTGAACAACAACAATAATGCTGAAGAGTTGAACAGCAGCATCTTTCTCCTTTCAGCACAGGCAATGGTATTTTAGCTTGCCTTAGCAGCAAGTAATATTAAGAGTGAGGGGAAGGAAAAGCTGAATTCAACATAATTTTTTTAAGCAGTTCAACACAGATGTTGCCCCTGTTCAGGAACAGAATGACAAAAACTGTCAGTAGTGACAAAAAGAATCTTTGAGATACAGAAATGCTGGACAAGCAAAATCAAAAGCAAAAATAATTCAGCTCCTTTGAAAGGAACTTCTCTGGGAGCTAGGACAAGACAGAGCTATACGAAATCCCCAAAGTTAAAGTTCAGCTTAACTCTCTGATTTTGGAGGCTGCATTTTGTAGGAAAATAACAATTTGTTACTGGAATGCACAAACACTTTCTTGAGTAATCTTTCTTCAAACACAGCTGAAAAAACATGTTAATGTGTCACTTAAACTGGAACCTTGAACTGCAGTGTATCTGCATCTCAGTTTTCAGACATGTTTTGATTAGACTTGGAACAAAAAATAAGAAAAACCAACCAACCAAAAAATGACACAATAAAACTCACTAGGCAATCAATGCATCTCCTATGAAACAAGTGCCACTTTTGCTGTAGTTCAGAATCCTATCTCTAACTGTGGCTTCTCTACTATGCCTCAAAAGGTAATGTCTGATTTGAATGGCAGCTAATCTGCTCTTTAGAAATAAGACTGAAACAAAATGTAATAAATGCAACTTAGCGTATGCTTTGCTGCATTTCTCAAAATTCAAATATATTACATGATGTCTTCTGATTTAAATATTGCTAAGTCCCACTACAACGTTGTAGGGCAATGAGTTCCATCATTATTCTTCTTCAAAATAATTTCATCAGTTTTACATTTCTCCTTTCAAAGGTACTGTGTAACTTCTGGTCTTTAAGACTGGGGAAGACTGAGGGTGGGGGGAGGCCAAAGAGCTTGTACTCCCTAGGGCATTAGGTATTTCACTGACTTCCATGAAATCTTCTCCAGTTTTTCTAAGGCAACTGATGTGATTTTATTTCACAGCCCATTCCCCACCCAAAGTCTCTTCTTCATATATCATGTTACTGATCATTTGTTTTTCTCTTTTTTCCTAACCCACATTAGTTATGAGCAACATTTAGGTTCAGAGTTGGTGGTGTCATATGTGAGTTTTCTAGCTAATGGGTCATCATTAAAGGATAAATCTTCGTAGTCACTATCACTTTTCTACTTCAGATAAATATTTTGTTGACTCTTTAAATGGAAACAAACATCAGGCAGTTGATCACATGATCTCTGTAGGTTAGAAAAGTTACTTCAGAAGTATTAAATTATATTTTTTTGCCTTAAGTTGCGAATTAGCTGTAATTTATTAACAAATAAGCATTATCTATAATTTCTAGTTATTTCTTTTACTCTACAGATAGAGTCCTTGTTTGTAATATAGTAAAAACTTTGGGGTTTAATTAAAGGCTTTTGGTTACTTCTGCTTCAAACCCTATTTTAGCCTTTAATTTCTTTTTTGATGTCTACTGAAATGTCCTCATGTCCCAAAGAAAAAACTTGCATTTTTTCCACAATGGATTTAATAATGAAAATTTAGAGAATTCTGTTTAGAGAACACACAAATACACTTTCCCAATTATTACATCTTTAAGTAAATTGTTTTCCCTACAAAAGAATGACTTTACTTACCCAGTGATCCCAGTGTGTTAGCCCATAATGCTCCTTGCCTTGTCACCATATTTAGAATTCTAAAAAGGAGTTAAAAAGGTATGAAAATGTTTAGTGCTCTGTGTTTACATCAAGGCAGTGTTTATGACATCAGGTCTTGTGTGTTTACACTACACATTGGGTTAATAAAACTGGAATAATGAACTGAAAGCTCTTCAAAACAAAACACTAAGGCAAAACACAGCTTGGTAACACACAATCTCTATCATGGACAGTGTGCAGGCAATACTGAAAGCAAATACTCAGTCCTGTCAAATCTTAAGAAAACCTTTCTCTCTTTTCAGGGCAAACTTGACCCTCGCCAAGACTCAGATCTCTTCCCTGCAAATAGCTTGCTAACCCTGGGTGTTCCTTACGTGGTGACTACACACAGTTACCAGAATGATGGGTACACCCGTGCTGAGGTAACTGGGTAAAAGACCTCGGGGAAAGCCAGAGTGCCCTTCTAGAAGGACCATGTGTCAGGGGGTGGGGCGATGCCTGAGACTAAAACCAATTCTGAACTAAAGCAAGCCAGGAAGAAGAGAGGCAATCCTTTGCAATTCCATTTGTCCAACTCAGCACCAACAGAAGGTGAAGAACCCCAGGTGTGTCTGTATGTATGCTCCCAGACTAGCACTACAGAGGGAAAGCAAACCTCTAGTGCGCTCTCAGGGAAGCACAGGGACACTTCTTTCTGGCCTCAGCTGTCTCCAGAGCGGGGACAACAGCAGCCAGAAGTGACTGATCTTTATCTCCCAGCAGTGTAACACTATCACAGGCACAGGATTGCTCTGGACAGCTGACTACCACTGGAACTTGGTTTATCATTTAAAGCAAAAAAGTCACACGTCATGTCGTTTCTGGTTTAATTTTCTACTATTTTTCCTTTTTTTTTTTTTTTAAATACTTTTCATTAGGACACAGGTCATTACTGCATATGGTTAGGAAATGAACTAAACAATAATGGAAAATTTCGTTTTGAAACAAGAGAAAAAAAAATCCAAGAGGTCAGGGTACTGACAACCTGTCCTTAATTACAACTCCCACCCCCACTTCTTAACTTTACACCAATTTTGAACTGATGAGAAAATCGATAATTTTCATAACCATGACACATTGAGATACTTGATGCAAATTCATTAAAAAAAAAAATTTGTGCATAGTTAGGATAAATTTGGAGGAAATCTAGGCAGGTCTCTTCCCTGCATCTGATAAGGAAAACACAGAACTTAATGCAGTGTTTGAAGGTGATGACCTTCAGCAGGCCAGGATAACAGCAGGGTGTGCACTGACTGCCACCTCCTGGCCTCGACCTGCCACAGTTAGTGCTTAACAACATGGTTCTGTCCATTCCAAATACATATACAATTCTGTTCATCTAGGCAAGAGCTGTAATTATAGTGGTGAATATTTTGATAAAGAGGTTGAACACAGAAATAGAATTTAAAATGGGGCAGACCCAATATAAACTGTACCAGAAAATAATAAGTTCCTCCTCTAAAATTCCCTTGTTACCAAGTATTCTGGGAGTGAAAATTTTCCCCCCCCCCATCATTCCACTCCTCCAATTTCCTATAGCTCCTTCACTTAGGTTTTCTCATAGTTGTGTCTAAACTACCATTAATTCTAGAAGAACCATCCTGTTGAAAACAATGTTCCTGTTTCATACTGCTTTCTGTCAAACAATCAGGTAAGGTGAAACCATGGCAATGCCATGGGTGTTCATGGATGCCATAATCCAGAACAACTTCCACCTTGCAGCACTTGCTGAGCAGCATGCACCAATGTCAACCCTAATGCAAATCCAGGCAGGCCCAGCTTCTGCATTTTAATCTTCTCTTGGTTTTGAAAAGCTTGGGAAAGAAGGGAGACTCACTCCCAGAAAAATGACAGCAAAAAATAGCTCAAAGCAAACTCTGCTGCCTCTGGGAGTATTTCAACATATAAAAACACTGCTTTGCCTTTGAAGTAGATTTTTAGTAAACATCAAGACAGTAATTTAGTCTCAAGTATTTAAGGTAAGTCAGAGGACACACCAACTGTGACTAAGTGAAAAGTAAAAAGCTTGAACTGAACGTAATTATAATGAAAAACATTTGATAACTTGTTGAAGACAAATATTGATTCCTGTTTGTCCCCACTAAAGAAAAAAAGGGCATTTATTTTTGCAGTATATTCATATCTGATCGTGTACAAGGTGGGAGAAAGAGCTCTGTCACTAAGGTGTGCTTTGCTTTGAGGTGGAACACTTACTGTACGTTTCTAGGTTTTGACCACGGCATGTTCTGTGTCTCCTTCAAGCCAAGTCTCAAACCATTCAGTGCCCCAAACGCTGCCCCTGGGTGGCACAACATCAGTCATTACTTTTTGAGAAGAAAAAGGAACAAAAAATCCCTGAAACAATACTAGAAACAAATACTGAGAGGAGACTTCAGTGTATTTCAGAAGTCAAATATCTGTTCATTTAAGACTAGAACAAAGAATGCCTTGCAGAACAAGACATTGACAAACTTATCAACTACTGCAGTGCACAGGTGTTACCTGGACAGCTGGGAAAAGTGGAAAACACAACACCTACCTGTCATACAACATCCTCCAATGGTAAAAAAGGCCAGCTCAAATCTGCCTCGAGTTTTGTTGGCTCCTGTGGGCAAGATAAACTCATCTGTGTCCTGAGGGAAAACAAAAACAAATGCTTTTGTATTTTCCAAGCATACCTGCTTCAAATGTAGGTCATATGTAGGCCATATTAATCTTTATTCTTTAATTCATGCAATGAACTAAAGATGGATACAAGTGTTTCTGGAAATTTCTTGCCTACACTAGCAGAGAGAGGGAATACAGTTTGTGTATGCTTTATTAAGTGTGAAAAAGGACTTTAAAAAGATAAACTGAGAGGTTTTTTTTTTCCCTAGCTCTCTTAATTTTTAGAAATTACATCAGTCAGGCAAGGAACTCATACTGTGTGGGTTGTTGGTTGTTTTTGTTTTTAATGACTATTTGCCTAATTATTACATCTTCCAGCAGGCAAAACAAGCTTTCAAAAAACCTTCCTGTTTTCTGATTATGTAGCACTGTTTCCTCACTGAGCAACCTATATTGATGCAATAATGCCTTAATTAAGGTTTTCCACTACTCTGACACTAAAGAAAAACTACCTTTGTGCCAAAAGACGTATTTCCATGCACTGAAATAAGTGACCTATTTTAAAGAGGTGAAAAAAGAAGGAATACACTCAAAATTAATGATCAGGTGAGGTCAGTAGTTTTTTACTTGTGCATCTTCCTCTTACAGAGACAGGTTTGTGTCCTTGTGAATGGCCTGAGAAACTTTGGAGAAACCAGCACATGTAGAGAGATTAAGGTGGGCCAAAGAAAGTTTTCAGTTAGACATGAGCAGGATGCACATGTGTTGATGAGGTGCTAAAGCAGCAAGATCTGTTTTATGCTTCTGTGCTTTCCAGACAGAGTATTACTCACCCCCTCTGTAACTGATACATGACTGCAACAACTGCAAGCTCAAGGAATTGCATTCCAAGGGCTTTTATTGGCCCATACTTGACAGTAAATGTGGATGGCAATACAGGAAAAATATACAGCTTCTAAAACTGTGAATATTGTATCAGTAAACTGAACCTGTAATATGGTTTCTATCTTCCTTCTAACTAAATTGTTGAAGAAATTCAGTGCATACACTAGTCAGCAGCTTCTAACAGTTTTCATTACTGCCCCAAAAGTCAAGATGAACCAATCCTTGTCTGTATGTAACATTTAAGTTTCTATAACAACAACCAAGGAGCCCCATCCTCTGGGCTTCTGCCATAGTATAAAATGCTATTTTATAATGCATGTTACCCTCTGAAGGCAACAAAGCATTGCAGGAAACACCTTGTTCTGTGCCTGCATTAATGGACCAACCAAGAAAGTGGGTTTTAAATAATGAATACCACTGTCTCATTTGTTATTATGGGAAGGCCAGAATCAAAATGTAAGGTTCTCAACAATAAGGCTTTTCCTTTGCATTCAGAAAGCAAAGAGATGGTCTTTGAACACAGGAGACCCTCACCTCTCTTTTCTTCACAGAACCCCTAAATTTAAAGGCCAATAATTTAAGTTCTTGTATTCTAAAATATTAGCTTTTTTTTTTTCCTTGAATATTTAGAATCCCAGGGACCTGTGGAGACTGCTTGGTGCAACCCACACAGCTAAAAGTAGGGTCAGGTAGTGCTGGGCACTCAGTCGCTCCCAGGTCTTGTGCTTCTCTAAAGATGGAGACCCCACAGCTTATCTGGGCAACTTGTTCAGGTAAAAACCTCGAAACTGTCTCACATTTAAATGGAATTCCCTTTTTATTTCAATGCACTTTCCTTTTATTTCAAATCACTAGTGCTAAACTTAAAGGCAGGGAAGTGTTATAACACAGACTGCAGCCTATGTGTTACATCAACAGGTATTTTTAGAACTGTACCACGACACTGATGCCAACACCTTTTAGTTTAAAGCAAATTTCTCTTCTGTTTTTAAAAACTTTTAACACCACCATGTTCTCAGATAAACTGTACTAAGGACACAAGACAACTTCAGAGAGTGTTTTGGGGAGAGGTCTAAATAATCACTCAGCATTTTTCCGACCACTCAACAACAGCAGGCCCCACTAGTGAACACACAAACAGAGGCATATCCCCTGTTTTCTGCCATTATGGGAATGTTACATTGTAATCTGGGCTACAACAGCTTCTAAGGAAAGAGAAACATAATAAACAGCCCCCAGAACTCCATTCAGAGCTTCCAGGTACAGAATAAACAGGGTACCATCAAACATAAGGCACACACACATAAAGCAGATCCTATGCAACTGTGCTAATTCTACAAAATTTAATGTTCTCAGATAATATGAGCCACATATAGAGAAAAATATTAACTAAATAAAATCATTAAGACATGCATCCTAATTGGACTAACTTAAACATTTTCAGCTACAGTTAATATTGCTGAAAAAGAAAAACATTACTGGAGTTCAAATAATTTTTTTTTCCTTATGGTGCCATCATTTTACATTAAGTAATGTTAAGCTGTGTGTGACAACCACTATTCTGTAGAACAAAATGGGAAGTTTCACTTCATGATGGTCCCCCTTCAGCTGGGAAATGACATAAGTGGTGTGACATTAGCTGCTGCTGTGATGACAAACCCTGTTATCAGGTCTGGGTTTTGGCCCAACACCTCTGTAAAGTTCAGAGCTTCACAGAGTTCTGGAGACCAATCCCTGAATCATCAGAATTCTCACAGTTGTGATGATGATCAGAAAATTCCCACTTCAGAAAACTAATCCATGAGATGAGTGGAGAGATTCTGGCTGCTGTTAGGGATTGAGGGGGCTCAGGGGAGGGTGTGACCAATGCCAGGATTGCTGTGAGGGTGCCTTGGGTGTGCCAGCCTCAGGGCAGGGAGGGACACCTCCTCTCCTCCCCAGCAGCAGGCTTGTACTGACACAACAGCCTTACCAATCCTCTGTATTTTCACTGGTTGTCTTCTACATGTCATGGCACTGCAAACTTTTATTAGGTACAACACTCAAAAATTGTTTTTTTCCACTGTTCACCACTCAATACCTCAGCACACCCTGCACAGCACTGCAGGAGTTTTGGGGTGTTCACGTGTGGTTGTGCAAACACTGGGATCGAGTTCTACACGGTAAAAACAAGCCTCCGTCTCACCTGTACTAGATACTTGGGGTCCAAGTTTAAATACGGTGACAAAGGGCTCATTCCAGTCACTGAAAGGAAAAAAACAAATAAAACAGAGCACTTTAACAGCAGCTTCCCCAGTAACGATCCACATCCTGTGAGGCAGAAGGGGGCACACCTCGTGCGCGGAAGCGGGGAAGATTCCACCGTGAAGTTGCACAACTCGTTAAAAGGCCGCCCCGGCCTTTCAGGAAGCGGAACGGGAGCTCCGGGATGGGGCGGCCGCGGCGTGACCAGCGATTGTCGCGACACGCGGCACGGCCGGGGCCTGGCCCTCCGCCCCCGTCCCGGCAGGGGCAGGAACCGCCGGGGACCGGCTTCCTGCGGCGGCCTGTCGATGCCCGTTCCGCCTTCCATCGAGACCGGCCTCGCTCGCGCCGCCCGGCCCCTCCGCGCTGCCCGTGCTGGCACCACTGCCCCCCGTCCCCACCCACGCTCCGCCGGCTGCCCCGGTTACTCACGTGGCACCCGAGCGAGGTCGGGTGGCGAGTACCCGAGCCCGCAGGACGCCGAAGAGGCCCCGAGGCCCGGTGCCTTGGAGTTCCCCGCCCGCCCTACCATGGCGGCCGCCCCGCTCGGCCCTCACCCGCCCGCTGACGCCCGGGCAAACGCCGCAAAGCGCCGCAAGGCGCGCAAAGCGCGCCGGCCGGCTGCTTTGCGGTCACCATGGCGACGGGGTGAGGCGCGCCCGCCGCCATCTTGCCGCGAGCCGCTCTCGGACGCGGCTCGTTCCACGAACCCGGGTCCCGTTCCCGCTCCCGCCGCGCCTCGGAACGGCCAGGCGTGCGGGGCGGAGGATGCGGACGGGCCGAGCCGCTGCCGCAGCGACGCGCCGTTCCCCGGGGGGCGGGTTGCCGCCGGCCCCCGCGGGCAGGGCGGCCCCCGCGAGGATGAGCGCGGGCTGCGGGCGGGGAACGCCGCTCAGAGAGCCCGCTCGGCCGTCCCAGGCAGACGCCGGCGGCGCCCAGGGACAACGGCAGGACGGCGCCGCGGGCACGCCCCGCCACGCCGTGGGGAACAAAGGTTGGTTTGTGGCACGGCCCGGTCGGCGGGAACGGGGCTCCCCGGGATCCGGAGCGGCCCCGCCCTTGGTGCCGCTCCGTGTGGCCGTGCGCGGACGGCCGGGGGTCCCCTGTGCCGCCCGGGGCACAGCCCCTGCGAGCCTCTGCTGCCCCGGGCATCCCATTCGCGGCGAGGCCGACTGTGTCTCTGCGCGGAGCTTCCCTGGAGCTGTCCTTCCTTTGGGCTGGAATTATTTCCCGCTCCGGTTCCCGGCGTGTCCCGTGGAGCCGAGCCCGCTGGTCAGTGCGTGCTGCTCCCCCTTGGAGACGGCGCTGGGTGCGGGATCTTTAGCTTGGTTTTGTGCCTGACTCTTTGCGAACTTGCACTGACAGCGGAAACCATCCCAGAGAGGTGCGAGCCACCAAAGGGAGCGTGTTCTGTAGGAGAGAAGGCGAATACTTGCTGCAGGAAAAATGTCTTTGGGCGGGGATTGTGCCGGGCTGTCACAGGGAGAGCCGAGAGCAATGACAGGAGCCCACATGGGCTGTGGCTGCCGGCCCGGAGCGCTGCTGGCCCCGTGGGGCGGGCAGGGCTGGCTGCTCCTCCTGCCGCCTCGCACAGCTGCCCGGAAAAGTTCCCACGTGGCTTCCTTAGTTTTGTTTCTTATTTGGAGCTAACGCTGTCAGGATAAAATTTTAATGCGCGACAAAGTGCCTCTTCCAGGAATAGAGAGGAATGGAGGGAAGGGGAAAAAGACCCCAAACAGATTTGCTGTTGTCTGCAGCTGATGAGTTAAACCCCAGTGATCAGCAGGTAAGAGGCAACTTTGAGCAGATAATAGTTCATAATTGTAGGTGTGCACTCCTACGGAGTTGGAAAGTAAGTTGTTTTTCTCAGAGGTAGATTGTGGGGAGTGGTTTCTTTTATGGAAATGATTTGGGGAATCTTGAGTAGAAATTTAGACACCACTTTAAAAATTACAGCAAAGTCTGGTTCTGTTGTTTACCCTGAAAGTAAGTTTGTGTTGTCTTTTTGTTGCCTGTTGTTTTCACCACCCTTTCTGCAGCAAAAAGCGATGCTGACAGTGTGAAAGTGATGTGTGTTATGTTGGCTGTAGGACTTACGTGGTTACTCAGTTGTTAAAGTTCAGACCAAAGCCATTTGGTTGTGATGCTGCTGCCATAATTTCTTTTATTGTGCTGTGAATAAGTATTTCTTCCTCAACACAAGTTTATACCTCAGGAGTTAGCTACCTTTGAAGAGGTTTGTTTGTCCCATGTTTTCACATGTCTTTTCAGGTTTGGTTTTTTTTTTTTTCCTGGCTGCTGCTTTTCCCTTACCTTAATTTGGGTTAACACTTCAAATGTAGGAAGGTGAAATTTGGTAATCAGAATGACTAATAGACTTCAATTTAGTGAGTCTTTAGAAGTAAAAATATTGTAGTTCATAAAATCTGTCCATTTTTGTCTGAGTGTGGTGAGGCTGAGCATTTGTTGGAACATTGATTATGGCACAGGTATCCTTGTGCTTGTAACCTACACATACCTTGGCATTGCTCCCTGATCACCCAGTCACATAATGGCAATTTTGCACTATTATTTGTGCCATTATAGAGGAACTTAAAACCATTTAAACATCTTCTGGAGATTCCTGCTCATTCTAGAAATTCTCGTGTCCTCTGATGAGGATATTTGATAACCAACTGTGGGAAAGTGTTTCTGAAACAATGTCTCTTAAGTTACCTATGGCCTAAGCTGCCTTTGATACAAGTTACACAACGTCCATTTGCAGAAAAAGCCCCTAGTGACTGTTAAATTAGAAGAGCCAGATCTACTATACTGCTTTTAAAGTTCTGCAAAACTATTGTTACAATAAGGGCACTACAGATGTTACCTATCCAGTTGAAAGCATTGAGTGAACACTTTGCACAGTCAGCAGTAGTAGGTGGGTACTTTCTCTTGGCAAATGGAAGCTAGTTGCCACATTTGCAGAATTACCATTAAATAAAACAAACAAAACACAACTAAAAACTCATTATGCTAATGAAGATATTTCCAGTTGTGAAATAACTGCTTTGAGTTTTTTCTCCCTAATCCCCCACCCAAGTTTTTGCATAATTAGTTCGATTGAAAGCTTGTCTGAGATGCAAAAATATACAGATAAGACTGGAACTGTGTTGTTGGTAGTAAATCTGAAAAAATGTTGTCCTTTGTTTTGTTGCTGGTTTTGGGTAGTAAGCATTGAAAAGCTTTTCAAACTGTTTGTGAATGGAGGGGAAAAGAAGAAGTCCTTTTCGGAGCACTTGTCACTTCTAGTGTGTACCATGGTTATATGAAGCCTTATGTTTCCCAGTATGCTACATACAAATAAGGTTCTTGGATGGGTTCTCTAAGATGTCTAGTTGTTCATTCTTTGTTTCTTTTAAGCTATGTCATATTACCTCTTTGTTCCAAAAATCAGCAGAAGGTTTTGGGACTCAATGTGGTGGTGATTAAAGGTAATGATGAGGGCTGGAAACTTCAGATTGTCTTTTTTTTTTTCCCTAGACATTCACTGTATATTCTTAACCTTTTAATGATATTAAAAGAATGATATTGGATGAAAAAAAAAAACCCACCACACACAAAGCCTGAAATTTATAAAGATCATCACAAAAGCGACAGCAGATTTAATACTGCTGGTGTCTGGATGCTCCCTACAGTAGAAATGCTAATGAGGATTTAATTGAGGTGTTTTATCCTCATCCAGTACAAGTTACCTTATTATTATGCAGTGATGTTGCAGTTTTATCCTGTTCCATGTAGTAACCAGTGAATTGTGGTTTTTCAGTTTGCAAACAGCAGACAATTACCAGTTGGTTGGAGAATAAAGGACCCAAGACAACGGAGTCCAAAAGGTAAAATGCACAGCATACCTGTTCAAAAGTTGTGTTCTGTGAGTGGGTCTGGGGGGAGATAAAGGTGCAGGTTGCCAGTACAGCTGGATAAGTAGAGGCAGCCCCAGTTCTGCTGCTTTCCTTACCTTGGCACATCCTCTTGAGTTACTAACTGAAAGACTTTCACTACAAAAAGCTAACTAGTCCCCCATCCCTCTCCTCTAAACCCCCAAACCCCAACTTTTTGCTGACAGAGGTTCCTGAAGCATCTCACAGTTTAGGTGAAAAAACACAGCCGTTCCTACAAAGAAATAGATGGGAAGCTGCAGCAAGGGAAGGCAAAGCGGGACTTGCTTCCAGTAGCAGTCAACACTGGATCAAGTTAGCTGTGATATCAAACTGTGTCCTTGGTCAACAGCTCTGCTTTCAGTTTTGTTTAAAATAGGGCACGAACAGTTACAGATTTTGGCTGATAGTCCTGTGGTCAGCTCACAGTTTTGTTGTTGTTTTACATTTTGGTTTGTCTCATGGGACTGTGATTGTAGTTTAAACGTGGGCAGCTTGATTTAGTTTCAGCCAGAATTTACAGGTGCTCAAATGTGCATTCAGGTTATTTTATGAAAGATGTTCCAAAAGTTTTGCTGCTGAATGGCTTCAGGTAAAGTTTGGTATTTTTTGTTAGTGTGCTGTCCAGAGCAATGATTGCAAGGCAGTGTTAAAATTAAACTCCACAGAGTTTAACTATGTGGTGCAGAGCAATATCAGATAATATTTTTCTATAGTTGCCAGTAAATGTGCTGGTTTATTTTTCATTGAGTTTTTCCTAATAAATACAAATTGAAATCTGTATCAGTGCTAAAATAGCTGGGAAGACTCATCCTAATGGTTAATACAGAAGTATGCAGAGCTAATTAGAGGCTCACAGGCTGCAGTAAATCAGGGATGTTAAAAGGATGCTTAAGGAGGAAATTAATTATTTTTTTTAATTCCCTTTAGAATAGTGTTCCTCCATCCCTGCTAACAAATTACAGCCTACTCAGTTTTAAGCAGCAGATTATTCATGTAAACATTTCATGTGCCTTTCTATTGCAATTAACGTCACAATTTTAATTTAAACTCTGTCCTTGTGTTAGATTTGATATCTCAAGTTGGCAACACATGTTGTCAGTACCTTTAAAGAGTCATTCAGATGGCATCAGTAGCATAAGTTTCATTTCTGTTCATCAAAATTTTCAGGAACAAATGCAGACACGGGAAATTAAATTATCATAACATAAAGCCCTCTAAAATCCTTTCCCAGCTGTCATCTGTTGCTTCAAGCCCCCTTTTTTCTTTTTTGTTCTGGAGTGGTAGAGGTGTGAATGCTCTGTCCTAACCCTGAGTGGTCTTTTAGAAGAGGTCTGTTATCATTCATGGAGAGAATTAATGCCTTCGGGAATCTGCTGAGATGTTCAGTTGCTGAATTTAGGATTGTGTGATAATTGCATATTTTCCTTTTTACTGTAGATGGGAAGCTGGGCAATGACCAGACACAGAGTTTGGTTTGCATTGGTAATATACAGAGTTGTACCAATACATTCAGGAGAAGATACTGTTCAGAGCAGTGTATTCACCAAGACTAATCAGGGTTTTTTTAATATTCATGTGCCATCTAAGTAATTTTCTTTATCAATGCACGGACACACAAATTAGTAC